TATGTTGCTTTCTAATTTTATAAAGTGATTTTCTCTGCAGGTCTCATGGACTGTGAGAACGGGACAGATATTGAAGAGTTTGTTCTTCTGGACTTTTCCTCTAAGCCTGGACACCAACCTCTCTTCTTCCTCCTCTTACTTCTCATGTACAGTGTCGGACTTCTGGGCAATGTCATGATGGTTCTTCTCATCACCTTGGATGCGCGACTCCAGACCCCCATGTATTTCCTGCTCCGTAGCCTCTCAGTCATTGACGTTGGCTTCATCTCAGTCGCAGCACCCCAGATGCTGGTTTGTATGATAACTGGTTCCAGGACCGTCCCCTTCTACTCCTGCATAGCCCAATTGTTCTTCCTCTATGTTTTTGGTGTCAATGATCTCCTTCTAGTGAGTGTCATGGCCCTGGATCGCTATGTAGCCATTTGTAATCCTCTCCACTATGCTTCAGTGATGAACCAAAAGGTCTGTGGGCAATTAGTGGCTGGCTGTTGCATTGTTTCTACCTTAAACTCCATGCTGCATGCCAGCTTGCTCCTGCGTCTCACTTATCGAGGGAAAAATTACCTGGCCCATTACTTTTGTGATCATCAGCCCTTGCTGCAGCTGTCCTGCTCAGACATCAGTGTCAATGAAGCAGTCATCTTCTTTGAGGGCAGCATCATCATCTTTGGACCTTTAGTTTTCATCATTCTCACCTACATTCGCATAGTGGCAGCTATCATGAAATTCACTTCTTCAGGGAGGCGCAAAGCTTTCTCTACCTGTGGCTCTCACCTCACTGTAGTGGTTATTTTTTATGCAGCCATCACTGCTGTCTATTTCTCGCCCACTTCAAGGTATTCCTCGCAGCGAGGGTCAATTTTGTCTCTAGTCTACACAGTCATCACCCCAATGTCCAACCCCTATATTTACAGTCTCAGGAATAAAGAAGTGAAAGGAGCTCTGAGAAATCTCTTGGGAAAGAGATCCTTGTTAACTCAAAACTGATAGCGAAAGCTTGATTCTACCATAGAGCTGCCTTCTAGCTAGCTTGAGGTGTGAATGGAGGAACAACAGAGCAGCTGAGTAGTCATAAAGTGTGGGCTTAATACTAGCGCTTTTAAAAGAGGTAATGGGGCAACTTGCCCCAGGCTTCACACATCAGTGGGTATCCACCTGAAATATAAATATTTGAAACGGTGAGTTGGATCAAAAATGGTGATTGAAGACATGAAAACTAATTATTTAGCAGTTGGGTGGACCCAGCCCTTGCTAGGTTTTAGAAAAGTCCTAATTTAATTACTTCAGGAGTTGGCTGTTTCAAGAAGATTGTAAATTGCTTTGTATATGGCAACCCTACCTATTTCTGTTCATTGGTGCTCCTCCTCAGAGTAGTGTCCTGAGAGGATCTTGGCATCCATTCCAGTCCTGCCCTGCAAACATGATTTCTGATGGCTGGGAAAGACTCCTCTTCTTGATATTATTGATTTCAAGCTGCTCTGTCCTGAATTACAAAGGAGATGGAGGGGGTTTGGGGCACAAATTGGGGAAAGAGAATGCCTTGATAGAAACATCTTTGTTTTATGGGTTGCATACAAAAAAAAAGATGAGTCACACCTCCAAGAATATCTGCTTTGGCTCCGGCACACTCAATCATGGAGAACAGATCTGAACAGACATTGACCAAGGTTATGTAAACTGGTGATCCTTGGATGGATAGGAATAGACTGCCATGAAGCAGATAGTCCAGTACTCCAATTTGGCAAAAGGAAGGCTCTTTTAACAAGGCTTCTTGCATAATTGCCTGTCCCCAAACTGAAGCCATCCGAATCTCCTGCTGCCACCATCTCCCACATGAAATGAAACCTTCCACGGATGGTCTTTGTTTCCATTTCTCACCCTGCTTGCTGAGATAATTTTTTTAATATTTTTCTCTTTCCCGTCACTATCTAACTCTGAAATCCCCCTGATCCTTTAAGTATTCAATAAAGGACATCCTTGATTAAATCTTTATGTACATTGGTGGTTTGGGTGTGTCTCGCTGTCTTTTTATTGCTATTTCTGTTTAATGGCTTCAACCACTTTGGCCATACCCACTGGAATGGGGGTATGAGGGTTTCAGTTGGCAGCAGTAACTTTGAAGTTGTTTCCCATGGGAGGGAAAAATGCAGTCCTTGACATGTTGGGGGTTCCAGGTTTCTGACTTAGATTGTGCGAAGTGAAAACGTAAGCCATACTAAAAAAAAAAATAGGAAAATGCAGAAACTGAGAGCACATTCCAGCCAATATGTAAACCCTGCCTGAGTTACAAATATTTCAAGTTCCTTTAAACCCTTCTATTGCAATAACCCCAAATGCTCAAAAATCCTTGCTATCATCCCAATTGTGCCTCTGTTCTGTCAAATACAGCATTTCAATGATTTTCTATATTCTCTCTCCAAAGAAAAATGTTTCAGGAGCCATATCCCCTTAAACTGTAACAGAGTTTTTCTGATTTAATGTTCATGTGCTAGTTCTGCCATGTCCAGCCTGGTGTTCTTCACAATGCCTACCCAATATTAAGAGAATCAGATCCTTTCTTACATAACACATCTTAAAATTGTTTTCAAGAATAATTCTCTATCTGGTCTTTTCTGCTGAAGACACCATATGCAT